CTAATTATTCCTAATTTAGCACACAACATGATCATAAATTCCACGAAGATTAATAAGTTTGAAAATACTCGTATACAGCTCATAGCATAATTAACTGATGAAACACAATTTAGTAATTCTTTTAATTTAATCCACGTCACCCCTAAAGTTTATTTTTAATATTTTTTAAAGTAAAAAAATGTAAAAACTCTTAATTGACGTGACAAGCCAAACTTTGAGGCTTAAAAAATCAACCCATTTTTATCACATAATGTTTTAATCTATAGTTTATAAACAAAAATATTTCAATATAATTATTTATTTAATAAAATTATATTTTGAGTGGATATAAGTTTTAGAGGAGAGGAAAATGGAAAAAAAGGGGTAGTGGGTCCCATCCCATCCAAGGCCAACCCAGCCATGTTAAAAAGTAGAAACGATAAAACTACCCACTCCCATCATTTTGTATTCCATCACCCGCTCTCTCTCTCTCTCTCTCTCTCTCTTCCACCCTGGCATCGCTCTCCCTCTCCGTACTCCCAGTCCCCACCTGCCTCTCCGATTCCTACCGGCTACCTGCTCTTCCGGTTGCCCTCCCCACCCCGGTGCAACTCATTAAGGCCTTACCCACACAAATTCCATTACCAAAAAATCAAAGATAAGACCATACACACACACACACTACACTTTTCCCTTCTTCTTCTTCCTCCTTTTTCTGCACAAATAATCCGACAATTTGGGTTGTCCGCCGGCGACATGAGGATCAGAAAACGGCAGGTCCCATTACCCTTCTCCTCTCTCTCTCCTCTCCCTCTCTCAGATCCCCTCCTCCGCCGCACTCCGCCGGTGCAACTCCATCTCCAACTCCCCTCCTCCGATCCTCCAAATCTACACCCCTACGCCTGCGATTCCGCCGCCTACCACACTAATAATGCCTTGGTCAGTAATCAAATACCCCCCTCCCTCTTTTTTCTTCACTCGATTTGGGATTTTTCTGTTTTCTTTTGGGCGGCGCGTTCTATTGAAGAATGGTCCCTGAAATCGCTCATGGGGTTGTCGGATTTTTCGTGTGCAGGGGAAGAAGGATCAGCTAGAACAACACGATTCCAGGTAACGATTCAAAGCCCCCATTTCTGTTCTTCCTCCAAATAAAAAAACCCAAAATACCGCTTAATCCATTTACTTTTATGTTTAGGAGAGTAAAAAAGGACAGCGGAAATCACTGTTCTGATGTTTTTTTTTTTTTTAATATGATTTCGTTGGCTTTTGCCTGTGAAAACATCTGGGGCTCTGCATGTTCTTCGCTGTTCCACAGCTCCTGTCTTCTTCTGAAATCATGGCTTACAGTAATTACACATTTTCTTGTGGGTTTCCTTCTTTTAATGTTACCCATGTGAATTTCATAGCTATGTGTATCTCTGAATTATTTTAGGGAAACGACTGTGTTTGGTGCAGAAGCAAGCAATGGTGTTCTTCCACTGTCCTCCTCTTCTCCTCAAGGTTCACCCCTTTTGTTTTTTTCATATCACTTTCTGGGCTGCTTGGTTTTCCTTTGCTGTACTGTAATGATTTGATTATGTTTGTGTGAATAAATGTGCACCATGATCATGAGTTTTCACTAGTGATTTGATGGGAAGTCCAATCTTCAAATTATGTGAAAATTATATGAAATAATTAGTGTTTTATCTACTAAAAATTACGATATGATACTCAATTTGTGTAATGTTGTGGTCGGTTTTTGTTTTCGAGTTTCGATTCAGCTTAGATTTTGTTTATTTATGTTTGATTGTAGTGGGTGATGGGCAATGGTGCGAGAGGGATAAGGATTTTCCATTAAAGAAGAGAAGAGGGAGCTTTGAGAGGCAAAGTGACGATGATCAGAACAATGCCGATGATCAAACCACCACCGCCGCCGCCGCCGCCGCCATGGAGTCACTGCCAGATCATAAGAAGACAACGAAGAACAAGAAACAACCCAAACTGGGTTTGAATCTCGCCGGAAAAAAGAGGTCGAGAGGCGGCGCGTTAATGGAGGGATCCCGGTGCAGCCGCGTCAATGGAAGAGGATGGCGATGTTGCCAACAAACTCTCGTCGGTTATTCTCTCTGTGAACATCACTTGGGAAAAGGCCGTCTCCGCAGCATGAACAACGTACGCAGCCGCTCTTTGGCCGCCGCCGCCGCCACACTGAAAAACATTGTCACCGTCGATAAAGACGAGAAAAAGCCACCTCCATGCCCACCACCGCCGTCGCCATCATTGACGTTAGCCAGCAAGAAGAGAACGAAACTGGGTTTGGTGAAAGCTCGGTCAATAAGCAGCTTACTCGGCCAACCAGACGGCATGGCGGCAATACCGCCGCCTCCGCCCCCGTCTCAGTCAACATTGCCTAACGACAACATTAACCAGTAGAAAACTATAATTTATTACAAAGTGACCCCTCATCTTTTAAGTAATTTAAAATTTTCAATTAGGCTGTTTTGTAAAAAGAAAAAAAAAAAAAAACAATATTTATTGTCTTATTAATATATTTGAACATTATTAAAATTCATCTATTTCATAAATTAAATTTATTTCACGACTTCAAATAAATATATACTAAAAAATAAAATTAAAGACGAATAATTGAGAATTATTAAGTATATTTAGAAAGAATCTTTTTTTAAAAAAATTGATATTATATTATATGATATAAAGTGTGCATTTAATTTAGAAAATGAGAGTATTTCTTAATTAATTTGTTAATAGCAAGATTATGATCACTAATGACAAGTTTTGTTTGTTTGTTGAGAAAATGTGATTCCTTTTTGCAGAGGGATCCCTAAAATATCACAAATTTAAGATGGGTTATTTTTTTATTTATAAAAAATGTAAATACCTAATTCTTGCGTGCGCCACATGCAAATATTTAAAATGGATGGGATAAAAAAGAAAAATCGTGTGAATAATTTTTTTTAATAATATTGTTTTTTATAATTATGTCATTTTCTTAAATTTAATATTAATTATAAATTATATCTTAATTTTTTAAAATATTATGTGTATGTTATGTTTAAATTTCATTATACGTGAAAAATAGTTATAATATTAATTAAATTCAAATATATTTATCTATTAATTTCATCATTTAACAAAGTTGGATATAATAACTAAAATTATTGTTTTGTAATTAAAAAAAATAAGACTAAAATAGAATATAATATAGAAAATTTAAATTGATTTTTGAGAGAAATATTTAAAAATAAAATAAAATTAACGAAAATGGTCATAAATACTTGTCAGGGTTATAGGACTTCGAGTTTTTCCCTTAAAGTTCGAATTATATAAATATATATATAGATAATAATATCTCAGTAAATCTAATTTAATTATCATAACGAAAAAGACAATTGAAACTTACTACTTGAAATAATAGACAAAGGTCGTCTAAATATCCAATTAAAAAGGAGAGAGATTTGTCGAATTTATATTAATTTACTCAATATCAATTACGTGCACGTCTTTGTTATAGTCAATTATTTTTCTTTGTGACGATGTTTCCTCGACTTTTGACATGCAACAACACTATTTATCTCTTTTTTTTACTCTAGTTACTTGACAAATTTCGATGGTAAAATTTTTTTTTTTAAAAAGGTGTAAGTTTTGGATCGATTTTTCTAAATTGTATCGGTCCAATTTCCCAATTTATGTATCTTGTATATTCTCCAATTAATTTTTTTTGTATACTTTTTTTACTGTATATATATATTATAAAAGAAAAAAGAAATCTCTTTTTTACTTTATAGGAGAATAAAGAGAAATAAAAAAGACAAGTGGTGGGTATTTGAGTCTTTGTAAACGACAATTAAATGTCATTATCGTGGTGGGACCCACAGATTAAACTCTCGTTTTATATATACTTTAATAAAATAGCTGACTTTAATTACTAATTAATTTTGTTAATTACCTCTTCGTCCTGCGCATGTTTCAAGTATAATAAAGCAAACAAAATGACTTAATTAATTATTTAATGGTTCTTTTAAGAATGTTTTTTTTTAAAAAACCTTAATTCATAAGCAATATTTTCCATGAATTAAAACTTTATTTTATTCAACCTTAATTGCATCAACTTCATTATCTCATCAATGGGTTATAGAAAAAATAAATAAATAAATAATCAAATACATTAAAGAGTGATATATCATAATTTTTTTTAAAAAAATAGGGTTTCATTTTAATCATAATCTTGAATAAATCTATCCTTTAAAGAAAACTTATATATTTAACACTCTTATTTAGTTGAGATGTTATTTTAATCTTCTCCTATGTAGAGCGAGATAAAATACTTCACTTTAGCTTGATCGGGTTCACTACTCAATGTGTATGTCTTAAAATGTTATCACGGCCTAAAGATTCATTCTAAAAAATGATATCTAAAATAAAAATGATATCTAAAATGTTTGTGATATTAATGGGAAGTTGATGGGATGTGTTGAAGTATGACGTGACAACTTATTCTTAACTTTATTATTATTTTTTTGAATTTTGATTTCATAACAAAAACATGTGCACTAGCTTATTATCTGACAGAAATATTTTGGGTAGACTATTTTTTTAAATAAAAGATATGGAAATTAAAAATAAGGTAGTTATTGAATTGCCAAATATTTATTTAATTTTTTTTTCTATTGTTTTGATGTTTCATTAATCAAAGGGATGCGTAAGGAGGAGAAACTTCCAATTTAAAAAAAATAACAAAACATCTCATCTTGTCTACAAATATGTACAAAAATCTAAATAATCATGCTTATATCTTACATAAATATTAAAGATAAATTTATAAATGTTGTAAAAAATATTTTTTAAGTATTTAAAATAAATCTAAAGATCGTAATTAGATATAAGCATTTATTTATTCTATTCATTCAATAATAATAAAAAAAAAGTTTGAAAATGACTTCATAAATAACATTTATCGATGGTTGAAAAAAGTTCGAACCATTAATTATATATATATATATATATATATGATGGGACAAAAATTGATACCAATCATGCATGTTATTGATAGGCCTAATGTGGAACATGTTGGACATAATTGGCATATAACATATATAAGAAAGAAAAATTAAGACATTTATGAACTATGAGGAACAGAGGAACATGTTTGGAGATACTTGGTAATATCATAAACCTGATGTGGATGTTAGAAAAATTGATAGTATGGGTAAGCTAAAGGATATCATCACCTTGTTCATATGGAAGAATGCGGAGAAATATGGAGCAGCAGCAATTCAAGCATCTTCAGTTTGCACTGTCATGTCCTGTATGCCTAATTCATGATACATACCATGCACAAAATCGAGCGTTTGGCGATTGTCCGATCCTTTCTTTGTCTGTAACAACAGTGATTTCACGAATGTCAGAACTGGGACTGGAAAATCAAATATACACAACGAATCTACCAGGTAACATCACAAGATAACAAAAAGAATTATTCACCGTTGCAGATGCATAACAATGTTAGAGATGACATAAACAAGTATGCACAAATGAAACTACCAGTTGATATCACAACATAACAAAAAGGATTATTAACGATTGCAGATGCATAACAATGTTGGAAATGACAGAACACAATTATGCAGAGAGTGAGCCAACAACTTGACCAGATATTAATTCCCAAAATCAAATATACAGAATGAAACTACCAGGTAACATCATAACTAAAAGGATTATCAACGATTGCAGATGCATAATAATGTTAGAAATGACTGAATACAAGTATGCTTAACACTAGTTACTCTACCGTTAGAGTGAGCGAGCCAACAACTTGACCAGGTACTAATTCCCAAAATCGCGCTTGAGTGACTTCTAATATGTCTTCACGGGATGAAATCTGTCAAAGTATAAAACTATGAACATTCTTGTAACATCATGAACAACAAAAAGTACTCTCGGTTATCTATAAACAGAGGACAAAATAATTGTCAAAAAGTTCCATAATTTTTCAAATTTAGAAATGTAAACAACTTTAAGATTGTTAAGGAACTCGCTACTTAATGAAAAAAATATAAAACAGATATGAAAGAAGTCCACATGGTCCAATTTAATTCACAACTTCCGTGGTACATGATATAATGCATGCTTATGCACAAACCTGTCTCCAACATTTACTTAATGCTGAAGTTGGAATGCTAGGCGGTGCCATTTGAAGTAAAACACCACTGGTTGCTCTAAAGAGAGGCATGACAATCATAAAGACTGCAACTGAAACCAGTCCTAAGCACAAAACTTCAGCATTTTGAACCCTGCCAAGGAGGAAATGCAAGTTGCAAGTGAGATTAGAGTTGAAGCAGACAACTTGAGAAAAAGGATCGATTTGTGCATTGTTAGTTTACCCAAGAGACAAAAACCAGGATGCCAATATCAGACCTGCACTGAGAACCATTGGCAAAAATGATTCAAAGATAAACATGTCACTAAAAGATTTATATTCAGACAAGGCATACATATTCACACGCAGTTATTGGAAGAGCAAACATGCATGTAGAAGTGAAAGAAGAAGAGAGAGGAAAATATATTTTACCTGCGGATAGAATCTGCAAGAACATGCAAGCAGATTGAATGGTAGTTCATATCTTCAGCTTTTCTGTACACTAAAAGCAAAGATCTAGGGATGAGACAATCATCAAAATCATGGACCTGACGGCTTGAATGATAAGCCAATAAATATGAAGATCGTCTTGGCAGACACAGATGAACTCATACAACATAATCTACTATATTGATGTCAATTCAACCAATTTTTATAGTGGACATGCCATAATGAAATTCCCATTGATAGATCCATAATTCAAAGTTTTAAAAAGTAATTGATTTTTTGATAAAAAAAAGAAAAATTAGGACTACATAGACAAAAAGTGGAACGAAAAATTATAATTTTACCATGATTTTATATTCTTCACAATTAGTTTTTAAATTTGCCCTTGAAAATGAGGTAATATGTCAGTTTAGAGCTTTATTATAAGTATGAGAACATTATTGTTCAGAAAATACAATCATATAATCACACTTAAATAAATATTTTTTTACGAACACTATATCAATACTATAGATATTATACAAATTATGGGAAGCTGGGAGAGAGTATATGTCTGTATCATGTACTTCAAAAGCAATGGACGAAATGACCTAATAGTATGTAGTTTCTAGATATTTACAATGTCCTACGCCTAGTCTTGTGAAAAATATTAAATCTAATACATACTATCTTAAATCTAACACATACGCCTAGTCTTGTAAAAAATATTAAATCTAATACATACTATCTTAAATCTAACACATGCGCCTAGTCTTGTCAATGATGCCAGATGATGTAACCTAAAACAGGGGACTCACCAAGATTAAGGCGAGCATAGCTCCTGAAGAACCAAACACCGATAAGATTGACCATTAAATTTGTTACGGCTGAGAAAATTAAATAGTGCCTGCAAGGTGAAAATAATTATCAGGTATACTAAAATCATGGTAAATCACTATAAAATATAACACAAGAACTCATTCAAATGAATAAACATACAAAATTAGATCAAGGTCATTATTACAAAAAAGCCTAGATACAATAAGAGTATCGAAATATATAGACATACTACGAATATCTAAATATTTGGACGTACTAAGAGTATCTAAATATATAGACATACTAGGAGAATCTGAATGAAAGAGTCTAGGACACCTACACATCCCAATACACTGTCACACAATCATATTAAGCAACAAAAATGCATGACATTTTTATGGTAAGCGTAACAGCAATGTATCTTATATATGCAAACACACACACACACACAAACATATATAAGTTGATAGTTTTATAAAATATATGCTTCCCCAAAGATGTTTGTTTATATTGTAACAATATTTCCTAGTAGAATCAATCACCATGTCTGTGTCAAGTCCACAGACATGTCCTGTGGACATGAATTCTGCCAGCTAAAAATTACAATATGAAAAAAACAAATTAAAAATATATTAAAATAATTAAAAATTTTGCATAACAGGAACACCTACCAACCAAGGCATCTAAGGTACACAAAGAGAAATTAGAAACCTAAACCATTAAATATACGACAACAATAAGTGGCAAGAGCCTAAAAACAGCAAAATAGACTACCACCAAGGAATTGACAGGGGAAAAGCTTCTAGATTGTATTCTAATAAAGAATCACAGTTATATTACATCTCGTCTCCAAATTATTGTTTATGGAAACTACTTACTTGTGTTCAGATTCATCTTGTATAAATGCATGGAGTGCTTCCACAGCTAATGAGAAAGACAGGAACAAAAGAAATAGCTGTCTACACATGTAACGGAGTAGTAAATGTCCAGGTAGCAAAAAAGTATTAAATAGAAATTTATTTTTGGAGTTAAGTGAATTAAAATTTTCTTACACATGATCATTAAGAAATGTACAGACAAATCAAATCACTTCAAGAGGTTAGGAGATTAGAAAAAGCAGAAGACCAGCAAGAACCAACTATGACCGCAAATGAAAATTAGCGTCTAAAACTGAAGAGCAAAGTGAAACATCACCCTGCTCTTTGGAGGTGTTATCCATTTAAAAATCAGGCTTTTGCTTCTGTTCCACTAAAATATCCGGTTATGAATAATTGAAAAGGAAAGAAATAATTCTTATAAAAGAAAACAAAGAAATAACCATAAGGTAATTAATTCATAGGACTTAAAGAGTTGACACAAATACATATCTAGATCAAAAGAACATGAACCAACCAGCCATCAATAAAAAAAGGATAGCATACAACAGAAGAGTTCCAGGGACAGTAAATATGCATAAACATGTAAAATTTTGAATACTTACAGCATTAGTAAAGGCAGCCAAAACCTCTAGTCTTTTGTACCTGGTAAGACAAACCACTACAATTATAACCGTCTCTAGTAATCAAATGAAGTTCGGAAAACCGTGAAAAGGTATGTGAGATATCCAAAACAAAACAAACTTGCAAGTTCATTGATATGTGCTCAAATTGTGACGCCTTATTTATGTTCCAATTCATATATGATTTTGTTCTCAATATACTTGTAACTTTTCAATCACACCAATATATGAAAGTGATGATGCAAAATTTAAAATTAGTATTTTCTAATTAGATGGCCAGTTAATAGTATACTTTCATTTTTCATGGGTTCATCTTTCACAACTCATAACAAGTTAGACAAGGGAATGATGAAATTGAAATTTACAAAAGATTAGGGAGAGAAATGGAAAAGCATCCCTAAAATTTAGGCACAGAACTCAAAAATACCAAGAAACTACTTTCAACAGAGTAAAAACTGATCGAAATAGTAACAATTAACTAAAAACTTAGTGTACTTAAGTTGGCTTCAGAGGCATGAGCAAATAAAACCTTACCCGTAGGTGAAAACATGATCAGGCTTACTCCGAGAGGCAGCAATGGCAAACAATGAAAATGTCAAAAGACCACAGCCAAAAGTCAAATGAAATGCATCAGAAACAAGACCTGAATTCATAAGATAAATTACTCACACACGAAGAATAAATTTCGACATAAAGGATGGTGAAATAAAAGAGGAAAAAGGATAGTGACGTCCATACCAATACGCCCAGTAAGGAGACCAATAGCTAACTCGGCAGTTGTATATAGGACATTAAGCGAAATCATCAGAAACAGCCTCTTCATATACCGATTCCCAGATCTCACATTCTCTAAAATTGTAAAGGCGAGCGACAAAACCGATAATTTATCGCTTGATTTATCCTTTACACTACAGAATTTATTACTTTCGGAAGCGAAGTAGCTTCCGGGCGGAATGTTTATGCTCGACATATTCCGCGAAAGCAAAGGCTTCGCCGAATCGTCGGAGTTGATAGGAATCGGCGTGTGGGGTGGCTCTTGCCATTGCTTAGACGAAGTTCGACGCGAAAAAGCGAACCTCCTATCATTGGCGCCAAATCCGGTATCCCTATTCCAAGAATCCTGGGAATCATTTGATGCAGTATCCATATTTTACAACGGGAGTTTGATTCTCCCAACATAAAACTTCGAAGCTACACGAGCAAAGCCCCGAAAACCATCCAACCTTCGACACCAGAAATCTTGGGATTTTACGGCGGGAGATCTGGAAGAGAACAGAGAAAATCGAAAAAAATATAATCAAACAAAACGAAATTGGTAGGAAACAGAGACACGGTGGCGATGGCTGAGGACTTGGAAGTAAACGAAGAACCTGGATTTCGTTAAATGGAACGTCACGTACGGCGCTCTTCAATCTTTCATTTATTTTTCCTAAAATATACTCTTATTTTAAGAAAATAATAACTAAAAAAAAAACCCATAATTTTGACATAATTTTAATCATTTATAAAATTGGTCATTAAATAACTTACCAAAATTCACAGTTCTTTTGATAAAAAAAAAAATAGTTACAGTGGTACACCCGAAATTGCCCAAAGAGGACAATATCTACTAGTAATGGATCTGAGTCATTACAAATGGAATCAGAGCTAGACACTGGACAATGTGTCAGCCTTCTCACTTTTCCCTGAAGGGGTAAACACGAGGTGGTGTGCCAGGAAGGACGCTGGGACCCAAAAGGGTGAATTTGGGGGCGGTCCCACATCGATTGGAGGAAGGAAAGAGTGTCAGCGAGGACGCTGGGCCCCGAAGGGGAGTGGAGTGTGATGTCCCACATTGGCTGGAGAGGATAACAAACCACCATTTATAAGGGTGTGGAAATCTTCCCCCAACAGACACGTTTTAAAGCCTTGAGGGGAAGCCCAAAAAGGAAAGCATATTTGCTAGCGGTAGATCTGGATCGTTTACAATACCAATCTCTTAGCAAATGTAAGATTTTTTTTGCTCTTATTTAAATATATGGTAAAATTAGAGACTTTTTTTAATTTTTATTTTCTATATTTAAGATAAATATTGTAACATCTTTTTTCATTTTATCTTTCGTTATAAGTTGATCGGATGTTAATAGTTAGCTAATGGTGACACCGACATGAACATAACGCAACAGCTAAGACATCCACTTCGTTTCTGTGAAGATGAAGATTCGAATTTTCAACATTCTCGGGGAAGCATTTATGGTCGTTACTCATGGCTAGACAACCTGTGCTATCCAAAAGGTTGTTTTCTCTATCAGTCTGATACTCATGGCTAGACATCTTGTGCTATCCTTAAGAGCCAACGATCCTTCATTTTTCCTTGTGTTTTCAACAAACTGACAACTGAACAAGTGTAGCATGATGAACAATACAAAAATTGTACAATATTCAGACATATCAATGTTTCAAAATTGCAGATGCATCGTCTCCATTTGAATGTAAGTGATCCATATTTCTGCCATTAAGCAAAAGTTCAAGTCCCACCTTCGAGCTCCTTTAACTGCATCATAGAAAGAAAAACAATGAAGAAACCAGAAGAGGGATCATATTAATGAGATTTATCTGTGAGATCTCGCGTCGGTTGAAGACGAGAACAAAACATTCTTTAAAAGGGTGTAAAAATCTCTCCCTAGCAGACGTGTTTTAAAAATCTTGAGAGGAAATCCGAAGGGAAAAGCATAAAGAGGACAATAGCTCTTTGTGGTGGACTTGGGCTGTTAGAGATGGTATCAGAGCCAAACATCGGGCGATGTGCCAGCGAGGAGGCTGAGCCCTGAACGGGGTGAACACGAGGCGGTATGCTAGAGAGGACGTTGGTTCCCGAAGGGAGGTGGATTGGGGGGGTCCCACATCGATTGGAAAAGAGAATGAGTGCCAACGAGGACGCTGAGCCTCAAAGGGGGTGGAGGGTGAGATCCCACGTTGGTTGGGGAGGAGAATGAAACATTTTTTATAAGGGCGTGGAAAGCTCTCCCTAACATACATCTGCGGGGCAATACCCTTATTCTTTCGTTTAAAGAACCCTTAGAAGAACCCAGAACCTCAGTTGAACGAACGATCAATTATCAACTGACAAATCAAACAGACATCAAAAGGGAAAGAATTCCTATTGAATACTGGTACAATTACGCAATAGGAATTACCTTGTCACAATCTTAGATGATAATCAAGAGTATAGGCATGAATATCTGAAGCACCTGTGCCAGGCCTGACAAAAACAGTCCACAAACAAAATTAAATGCCAAAAACATACAAAGAATTGAACTAAATCAACCCCTTATACACTAGTTACTAGGTCAGAGTACGAAGGTTTCGAGAACTAGGAAGCATGATTATTCAAAGAAATCGAACTAAAGAGAGCAGAACATGGCCTAAAGGCCTCAGGGATCTAGCAGATATTATCTTCTTTGGGCTTTCACGGCCGGACTTCCTCCCAAAGTTTTAAAATGTGTCCTACTAGGGAGAGGTTTCAACATCCTTATAAAAAATGTTTCGTTTCCCTCTCCAACTGATGTGGTATCTCACATTTCACCCCCCTCCAGGGACCGGGGTCCTCGCTGGCACTCATTCCCCTCTCTAAACAATGTGGGATCTCACAATCCACCCCCTTTTAGGGCTCAGCTTCCTCGCTGGCACATCGCCCGGTGTCTGGCTCTGATACCATTTGTAACAGTCCAAGTCCACCACTAGCAGATATTATCCTTCCCACCTGGTATTTCCACCCCCAATTGATATTAATAATTCATGTGTTACACTTCATAAATTAAATTAATATCTAAGTCTACATATGAGTGGGAGTATGAAGAATTTTCATAAAAGATTAAATATATCATAACCTATGTGAGATCCCACGTCGATTGGGGAGAAGAACGAAACATTCTTTATAAGGGTGTGGAAACCTCTCCACGTTTTAAAAACTTTGAGGAGAAGCTCGAAAGGGAAAGCCCAAAAAGAACAATATCTGCTAACGGTGGGATTGAGATTGAGATGTTACAACTTATCTACTCAATGTGAATCAGAATAATATGAAACATGTATTTAATCGAATATCTGAATAAGTACCTTTTATTGATGGTGCCATAATGGAATGAGACTCTTCCTGCCTTGACATCCTCAACATACTGCAGTCACAAGAACATGATCTAGTTGCTTTAAAGCCATCAAATATTTTGTAGCAAAATTACTAGTTCATTTACTGGTAACCCCTTACTTTTTTTATTTCCGGTTGTTGAGAGATAGGTGTGTTTATTATTTCCCTTCTCCTTTTAGCATGAAATTTTAGCGAACAAAACATTCTTTATAAGAGTGTGGAAACCTCTTCCTGGTGGACGCGTTTTAAAACTTCGAGGGAAAGCCCAAAGAAGACAATATTTGCTAGTAGTGGGCTTGAACCACTACAAATGTTATCAGAGCCAGTCATCGAGCTGTGTGCCAGCGATGATGTTGGGCCTCAAAGAAGGATGGATTGTGGGATCCCACATTGTTTAGAGAGAGAAACGAGTGCCAGTGAGGACACTGGACCCGGGGGGTGGATTGTGGGATCCCACATTGTTTAGAGAAAGGAACGAGTGCCAGCGAGGACGCCGAGCCCAGGGGGTAGATTGTGAGATCCCACATCGGTTGGAGAGGGGAACAAAGCATTCCTTATAAGGGTGTGGAAACCATTCCCTAGTAGACGAGTTTTAAAACCTTGAGGGGAACCCCTGAAAGGGAAAGCTAAAAAATGACAATATCTACAAGCGATGGGTTTGGACTATTACAGGTGTGGAAACCTCTCCCTAGCGAACGCGTTTTAAAACCTTAAGGAGAAGCCCGGAAAAGGGTGCCCAAAGAGAACAATATCTGTTAGCGGTGGGCTTAGGCCATTACACTACACCTTTCTTTTTACGAAAATAAGCCTTAAATGCTTTGTGGTCATCCTTTTAGGAGGAAAGCATAGAAACTAAGGGTTAATGTATCAATTCAATAGAGTATTTGGCTGGAAAGAAATAGAAGAACATTTAATATGTCTTATTGTAACTTCTCACAGTTTCAGTTTTTTTTTATTTTTTTAATAAGATTCTTCTTCTTCTTCACCATATGAGCCTCTAATGTACAAAATCCAAACATATTGAAGTTGTAAAGGCACGTACCAGTTTTAAGGTAACCAGCATGGATGAAAATGCAAGAGAATCAAAAGGTATATCGTCAAGAGAAAAAAGGCGACATTCTATGGATTCGGGACCAGGAGAGAAATGGGGTTTCTTCAACTTTCCCCTGAAAATGATATACGTCTACAAAAACAAACGTCGATTACGTCATATATTAAGTATACGGGACGCCGAAATATGATCAGGAAAAGATGTTTCTTTCTTACTTGGCCAATTAGAGGGATGTCTAGCTGAGCAAAAGGGGATGTAACTTCAACTTCTGCATTTGCTTCTTCCAAGGTTTCCCTAATTGCACCATCAACAGCTGACTCCCCAATTTCCATGTAACCAGCTGGGAGAGTCCTATTGAATAACTAGATCTCAAATGCAGTAATAAAAGTTATCAAAGAAGGAAGGATTAACTAAGTGTCAATAAGTTATTCGCTGCGGCTTCATGCACATTTTGGTTTTCTTAACGGATTTAAACGTCGACAACGTACATACCATAGGCCATAAGATGGCTCGATCTTCCTCTTGCAAAGTAAGATCTTGTCATCATGATGAATCAAACAACCCACAACCTACAAGTAACATTCCAGAAAATACATAAAGTATAGCTTTTATCCATATAGGAGAACAAACTAATGAGCAAAGATGTAACCGTTCAAGCCCATCGCTAGCAAATTTTGTTTTCTTTAGGCTTTTCCAGTTGAAGAAACCCCATTTCTAATAACCAAAAGTCGCTAATGGTATCAGAGCCAGACATCGGGCAATGTGCTAGCAAAGAGATTAAGCCCTGAAGGGGGTGGATTGAGGGGTTCCACATCGATTAGAGAAGGGAATGAGTGCAGCAAGGACGCTGGGTCCTGAAAGGGGGTGGATTGTGATATCTCGCATCGGTTAGAGAGGAGAACTAAACATTTTTTATAAGGGCGTGGAAACCTCTTCCTAGCAGACACATTTTACAAACCTTGAAGGGAAGCCTGAAAGGGAAAGCCCAAAGAGAACAATATCTGCTAACGGTGAGCTTGGACTGTTACAACGAAAATATAGCAAAGTCGACACTACATATGAACATGGTTCGCAATGGATGTATCTGCACGTACAAACTCTTTAACACTAGCGTAATATATAGCTCTAAGCAAATCCACAAGGAAAAACAATAAAAAGAACCATACACTAAGAACAGAAAACGCAAACTATAACAATACTAGGGCAAAATATGTTTCCAAATGATGATATATGAACAAGACAACTTTGCTTAAACATTCAGATCTTGATTGTAGTAAACTCCTGCTAAATTATAATAGTAAAGCAAAGAACATTTCATGTTTGAACGGAAAGTTATCCATCCTTTATCACTGAATCAATGAAGATATATGATCATCTTGTTCTTACAGTCACGTTCGAGTAATTACATTAACTATTTGGTTACAAAAAGAATGCCTTAGTGACAAATTTTAAAGTTGGCCTAGCAAACTACAAAAAATTCAGTCCATGCCTAATCATGGAGCATGGTTAGTTGTGAGCAATAGAAAATATAACTTTTAAATGGCAATTGCACAGAGTTATCAAAGATCAAATGCAAAACAAGAGTATTACCATCTTTGGATTCTGATAGGTTATCTTCCCACAAACTGTGCAAATAGCTCTCAGTTTCTCCTCATCATCAGGAATTCCATGCTTTGTTTGGCCTCCACACCACTGGCAGAACCGTACATTACGAATTCTTTCCTGCATAAGAGATTCCATTCGTACGTGTTGTAAGTTGTCGTGAAGAATAGGTTCGCGCATCTCCTATACATGTATTGGCATTTATTTGGCTATGAACCCTTTTGGTTCATCTTCCATTTTCATGTATGACATTAACGCTTCTATGCCTATATAAAGGGTTGTCTAGGATGGTTGAGAGGTATTGAGTTTGAGTGTCATTTGAGAGAAACTTTGTTGAGAGATTTTGTAGTGTGAGAGTGTGAGATATACACTTTGTAAACACTTAGATTATTGAGATAGGTTGCTAACTGTGGATGGAAGGGAATTTCTTCTCTCCAAACCACGTAAATTTTTGTGTCTCTTCGTTTAATTTCTGTTTGTGGGTGTGTGAGTGCGTGAGTGCGGTCGATCTTGCTTCAACAATATAGTCAGTCAGTGCAATGAATGCAAAAGTTAACAATAAAAATGAAAAGAAATGCATACAAATCACTCTAGGTTGAGAATTCTTCATTGATCAAACATAAAACCTTGTATGTATCATTTGTTACCAAGCAACCCATCCTACGGCTATACGTTTCTATCATCATTAAGGGGACCAATATCTAATAGAGCAAGATGAACTTTCCCCAGATACACAATTAATCGTCACAATGAACCCAAATGAAGGAAAACAGGCACCATAAGTGAAATTGATACTCATCAATCAAAAGGATGACTCACAGCTGAGTGGACTACAGTTGAAGATGATGGCGGCGGTGATTCTGACATAGACAAGGGAGACGTGGAAGTGCCGTCTTGATTTGCCTCAGAACATGTAGACCCACAAAACGCTTTGAAAGAAGCAGTTCGAGGAGCCAAGAACATGGAACCACTGCTAGCACATGACAATCTTGAAGAAGAACAAGAAGACGACGTTGGCAACCGTTTGGAAGAGATGAAATTAAGACTGAATCCAACAATACTATTGGGTTTCAGAAGATTTGAAACAAACCCAGATGAACAACCGAACAGATGAACAGATTTTAGCATTATCAATCTTCAATTTCTTTGAATCGGTATGGAATTTGAAGTCGTAATCAACCAAAAGGATCTTCCAATGAGGAACTTGAATATCATTTCATCTCTTTTCTTCCATTTTTCCAATTGAGGTATGAGAGCCGTCAGCACGCAGTGGGCGCAAAGATGAACGAAAATCTCGCGTTGAATTCGGGCTCTCAAATTTTTTGGGGATGTCCGTACATCATATTCGGATTCGTCCCATCGGTAATGTTCTTATCCATTAGCGAAAATTTTCATTTTTAAAAAAAATGAATTATGTTTTATTTATTAACCTGTACTCAAATTGATGAATGTGTTTTTCTAATTATAATTCTAATTCTAGTAAATGAATAATTAATTAAATATATGTTTTAATTTTTTTTAATGAATAAATAATTACCAATAAATATTATGTCAATTCAAAATATTTGAACAAAAAGAATTAAGTGAATTTTAAGTAAATAGAACTAAATTAAAAAACAATAAAACATACAAATAATTATATTTATTTAGAAATACGAACATTGGAGCTGACGTGTAATGTTTTAATACAGACCCAGTTTATATTTAATTATCCAATAAATAAATGAAAATGTAGAATTTATTATTGGCAAGTGAATTTAGCAAATTCCCGAATTTGGCCCTGGTCAACGAGGAAAGAGGATCGTTGGATGTGAAGGACATAACGGTCCAGGAGAGGGCAATGACCGAAAAGTTAGACAGCTGGATCCAACGAGAATGTGACGCGTGGCTACAGACCGTGGATTAGTCATTCGGAATAGACGGCCAGGATTTGCGGAAAGGTAATGATGGGGGTTGATTTGCTTTTTTGCATTCCTTTTTAAAAACACAGAAAGCGAGGGAGGGGGGTGGGTAGTTTTTCGTTCTTTCGTTCTTTCGTTCTTTCGTTCTTTCCATTTGAGGCTCAGTTCATTGCCATCGCCATTGCCATTGCCATCAGCTCAACAGTTTTGAGTTCACAAAGCTTTATTCATTTCAAAGGTATATCATCTATCAATCATTTCTTCCACTTTTGTTTTACGTTTTGGTTTTGATTTTCTTCGAGGAGGACATTCTGAATTCCCGCGACGCTATTGTTTGATCTTGTTTTTCTTGTTACTGTACGTTGATGATTATGCTTGTTTTTTCTTAACGCATTGTGTTTGGATTGGATTTTCTTTTTGTTATTTGGAAATGCCGCGGGTTTCTATGATTGATATCAGCTCAGGAATGATGATCGGGAAATTTTTTTGCGGTGATTCATTTATTGTATGTTGAATTGGCGTTGATCGTATCAGTTTCTATTTTCGCATTGTACTAGATTAGATTTCTTTCTTTTTTTGTTATTTTGGAAAATTTGACAGTTCTGTGATTAATATCAGCTCAAAATTTTTATATATATTGCGGTGATTCCTGTATTGTATAATTAATTGTGTTGATCATGTCAGTTTTTATTTTCACATTTTATTATTATTATTATTTTGGGAGTGCTGATGGATTCCGTGATTAATATCAGCTCAGAAATGACGATCGATCATACTTTTGCAATGATTCGTTTATTATATGTTGAATTGTGTTGATCATGTCCTTTTAATTTGCATTGTATTTAGATTTGATTTTTTGTTATTTGGAAATGCTGTTGGATTATGTGATTGATATCAGCTCGCGAATGATGATTGAAAAAAAAAAAAATCAGTGATTCGTTATACTTTACGTTTTTTGGTTTGTTTCTCTCTTGTGTGGATGCGTAGAATAGGATTTGTTGTTTGAAATTTGCCGCCGAAATTGAATAATTGGTTTGGTGTTCTGTTGCGCTTTTCTCATTTTCTGAGCAGCAGCAATGCAGCGTCTGTTAACATGTTATAGTGTCTTATTTTCTACGTGTAAGAGAATTCTAGGAATCTCTATCCCATAACGGGGGCTTGATCTGGAAGATGATCAATTATTTTAATCTGGATTTTACCAATAACTTGTGATTTTTTGCTGCAGACCATTCACAATGGCAGATTCCGAGGATATTCAGCCGCTCGTTTGCGATAATGGAACAGGGATGGTCAAGGTATTGATCCGACATCCATGAACCTCACGTTACAGTTACACCCTGTTTTGGACTTTTTGTTCTGTATTACTTTTTTCCATTAGCAATGAATAAATCGCCTTTTCTTATTAGCGTTACAATTTATATTTTGCAACAATTGCTGACACTATCTGTAGGCTGGATTTGCTGGAGACGATGCTCCAAGGGCTGTATTTCCTAGCATCGTTGGACGCCCCAGACACACTGGCGTTATGGTTGGTATGGGCCAAAAGGATGCCTATGTTGGTGATGAAGCTCAATCGAAGAGAGGTATTTTGACTTTAAAATATCCCATTGAGCATGGTATCGTTAGCAATTGGGATGATATGGAAAAAATTTGGCATCACACTTTCTACAATGAGCTTCGAGTTGCTCCAGAAGAGCATCCAGTTCTGCTCACCGAAGCACCCCTGAATCCCAAGGCGAATAGAGAGAAAATGACCCAAATAATGTTTGAGACTTTCAACGCCCCCGCTATGTATGTTGCTATCCAGGCCGTCCTTTCCCTTTATGCCAGTGGTCGCACAACTGGTAAGTATTACCTTTTTTCCATTTGTTTTGTATCCTTCCTTCTTTATTAAGTAGATGGATTAAAACTAAAAATATCTATACAAAAACGACATTGTATAGTTTTCTGACTCAGTTTGCCTTCTTAACTTGTTCATATTCTAACTTTACTAGATTGCTGCTACTCCGAGCCCATGTATGTATATTAAAACTTAACATGTTCATATTCGATGCTCATGTATGTATATTGTGGGTTGTTTTAAACTTGTAGGGATCGTTATGGATTCTGGTGATGGTGTCAGCCACACAGTTCCAATCTACGAAGGTTATGCCCTCCCACATGCAATCCTCCGTCTAGACCTGGCTGGCCGCGATCTCACAGATGCTCTAATGAAAATCCTGACTGAACGTGGTTACTCTTTCACCACCAGCGCGGAGCGTGAAATTGTGAGAGATATGAAGGAGAAACTAGCTTACATAGCCCTGGACTATGAGCAAGAGCTAGAGACATCAAAAACCAGCTCTTCTGTGGAGAAGAGCTATGAATTACCAGATGGACAGGTGATCACCATTGGAGCTGAAAGATTCCGATGCCCTGAAGTCCTCTTCCAGCCATCCATGATTGGAATGGAAGCAGCTGGTATTCATGAAACCACATACAACTCTATCATGAAATGTGATGTCGATATTAGAAAGGATCTCTATGGCAATATTGTCCTCAGTGGTGGTTCCACCATGTTCACTGGCATTGCTGACAGGATGAGCAAGGAGATCACTGCATTGGCTCCTAGTAGCATGAAGATCAAAGTGGTAGCTCCACCTGAAAGAAAGTACAGTGTCTGGATTGGCGGCTCCATTTTAGCTTCCCTCAGCACTTTCCAACAGGTAAACATCATTTGTATGCATTAAAATTTGTTCATATCATCTACTCCGAGACTCAACATTATAATTTCTGTTGCTAGCATGGGATTGATCAAAGTTAACTTAAACTAAATTGGTTGACACATCGTTTTCAATCTAGGACAGAACACAAATAGGATGCATTTTGCTTACAAAATTTATTATTTTTGTTTCATATTACTATTTATGTTTATTTATTATGCCTAGCAATTAATAGACGTGTATGACGCATATTCACTTTGTGCAACTAGTGTCAACACATATCTATTGTGTCTATGTCTAATTAAGAACACGCTCGTTTTTTGAACTTCATGTCTTGTCTAATTAAGAACTCTAGAGGATGGTAGATCAAAATTCTTGATTGTTTGAACAATCTTTTGCAGATGTGGATTGCTAAGGCGGAATATGATGAATCTGGGCCATCAATTGTCCACAGGAAATGCTTCTGATTTATTGAAGTTAAAGGTGGAAAGGGAACTTACTATATACATGTTCCTTCCACAGATGGAAGAGCTTTCTATCAAGTGGTTGCTTATTTTCCATTAATATTTTTTTTTCTTTCCTTTTTTGTTCACCATTCTTTGTTCTCATGGTTATTTCATTTTGTTTTTTTTTTTTTCTTTCGTTTCGCTGCTGGAACATTGAACATGGAAGCAAGCCACTAGCATTGAAGGTCGATATTTTTACCGTTACTCTTTTCTTGTAGAGAAGTTGTATTATTACTTATTTGGAATGATTGAGTTGAAATCATTTTTCAAAGAAATTATCGTGTCAGATTTAAGAAATAATTTAAAATGATCAAAAGAACTAGCGTATATCATAAGCAATACCCACTTCATGCATTTGATCGCACCCACTTATCATTTACGTAAGAAGTTTTTTTTAATTCAATAACAATTGAAGGTTGAAATTCGAACTTCTGATCTTTTATTGAGTGCGATTTACAACCATTATCAACAAAGCCGAAACCCCAAGTTTATTCCAACTTCTGAAGCAGAACGGCCGGAGATTCACATCAAAATGTGAATCCCCACCATTTGCTTATATGAGTTATGGCCAAAGAGAATGAACAAAAATAAAGAACCTCAAACTTTCTTCATAAAAGGAATTTGAGCAAAAAAAACGCAAACGAAAGCTCATAAATCAACCAAAAGTTTCAAAAAGTTCCAAATCCAAAGTGCAAGTAACAGCTGCTGCTAAATGAGTGTTCTAATAGTCAGATTCATCTTTTCAACCATTCTCATCGACGCCTCGAAGAACAGAGAATTTTGATGGTCCAACGGTATCGGTGAACCCACGAACAGATAGTTCTGGTACATGTGCCTTCTTCCCTTCAAACTCATGGTCCAGAAAGATGACAACAACTGTGATATCATCGTGAAAGAATCGTCGTGTGCCCTTTTCGAGCTTCTTGAGATCATCGTATCTCATCTCCCTCTTCCTCGCAGCCTCAGTTAAGGCTGCTTTAACTAGTCTTTTAGCAATTCCCTGATTTTGTCAAAAAAGGGTGGGGCGATCAGATCAATGCTATGAACATATACATAAGAAACTTAAGCACTCGAGAATGTAACGTACTGCTCTTGGGTAATTATACACAATATCGACTGCTCGTTGATTCGACAAATGCTCCCAAAGGCCATCGGATGCAAAAATGAGAAATTTGTCATTTGGTTGTAGAACTCTTGTACTTAACGATGGTTCTGCAGTAAGAACAGGCCGTCGGAGAGGCTCTGCAAGGTGGAATCGTGGAAAGGATGGA